AGTTGGAGATTTTAATGCCCTTCTTTCAGTAATGATGGAATAACTAGATAAAATATCAGTAAAAACATAGGAGATCTGAAAAACCCTATCAATCACCTGGAATGAATTGATACTTATAAAACATTATACTGAATATCTGCACCCACTTTCTTTTCAAGTACACATGGTTTTATTCATGATAGACCATATTCTGGGCCGTAATACAAGTTAATAAATTTAAAGGGATTTATTTTATTTTTTTTTAAAGATTTTATTTATTTATTTGAGAGAGAGAGAGAATGAGAGACAGAGAGCATGAGAAGGAGGAGGGTCAGAGGGAGAAGCAGACTCCCTGCCAAGCAGGGAGCCTGATGCGGGACTCAATCCCGGGACTCCAGGATCGTGACCTGAGCCGAAGGCAGTCGCTTAACCAACTGAGCCACCCAGGCGCCCCGATTTATTTTTTTTTTTAAGATTTATTTGAGAGACAGAGAGAGGAGAAAGCACAAGCAGGAGGGGCAGGGAGAGGAAGAGAGAATCTTAGGCAGACTCCCCACCGAGGGTGGAGCCTGATGTGGGGCTCAATCTCACAACCCTGAGATCGGGACCTAACCCAAAACCAAGAGTCAGTTGCTTAAAATAGAGCACTGTAAGAGGGATCAGAAATGGAGAGGGGTGCATTTATAAATAAGTGGTCAGAGTAAGGCTCATTGAGAAGGGATATCTGAAGCTGAGGGAAGGCACTCTGGGGTTACGTGAAGGACAACCATTCCCCAAAGAGGCCACACTCAGAGTGCATGCCTTTTAAAGGAGACTACAGTGACCCAGAGTCACAGGGTTGAGTTTAGCCTCACTTATTGGAGGAGATGCATTTCCCCATGGGGCAACTCCTATGGGTCTCTCTCTAGGCCCATATTTGGGGGGCATATCTCTGAAGGCTCATCTGCATTCCCCTTCTCTTCTAACACTGCAGCTCTCTCCGGGAACTAGTCCTTCCTTCATGCAACAGGAAAGAGGCGCAAGGTGGGGCAAGCTGTCAAGACAGACTCTGTCATGAGGCTGTAGCTTTTCTCTTGCTGTTATTTGTAGTAGCGGCAGTTTGTGTTCTTTTTGGTGTTCATTGGCTTCCTTTTCCTGATCCTTTGACAGGACAAGTTTGGGATGAGCTCTGCCTGGGTCCAGAGTCACATCCATGACAGCGAAAGTCATGGGGATCTGCCAGCATGCGTCGTGGGATCAGGGATTCAGGGCCTCATTCTGCGTCTTCTGTCTGTGTGCCGGTTGCCTCAGGAGCAGCTATGTCCTGTGCTGGGCGCAGGGCCTGCCACCACCAACGTGGCAGCAGGGCACCATGAGCCATGGGTGGCAAAATAACGAAGGCTCTGTGAGCGGCCCAGAGAGCACAGTGCTTAAGAGAGACCCCTGTCTGGAAAGGGAAAAGGAACGTGTCCCACAGTTTGGGACCGGCAGGACCTTGGCTGGGCGAGGTCCCCGGCCCCATAGCCTGTTCTCCATTGTGCAGGCACCGTGCCGGCCCCAGCTGAGGCCACTCTCGGCTGCGCCATCGCGGGCTCCCGTCTGCAGGCCTGGGCCGCTGCCTCTGGCCGTGGAGAAGCGCCGTATTTGAATCCTCCGAGGGCCGCCGAGGGGGGAAGGAGACACAGCGGGGGACAGAGAAGTGGGGCTGGCGTAGGCAGACTTGGGGACACCCACAACTCTGCTACTGCCACCCCTTCTCCCCACGCCCTTCAGGAAGAGAAGTGCACGCGACCTAAAAACAGCACCACACAAACATCGGCCCCGAAGGCTACAGATCCCAAAGGGGGTTGGTGGCAAAATAGAAAGATCTTGACTCTCTGCGGGCTTCCTGATTTGAGATCCTCTGTGCAAAGGTCACAAATAGTTGAAGAGGTTATTCATTTGTCCTGTCTCTTTATTGCTGTCAAAGAAGGGTTTTTCTTCCGCCTTCTTCCCTTCGCTCAGATGAGCTGAGAGCAAAGCTGGCGCCTCATCTCCGGAACCTGAGGGGCGCCCCCTCCCCGGGACCTGACGGGCGCCCCCTCCCCGGGACCTGACAGAAGCCCGCTCCCCAGGACCTGACGGGCGCCCCCTCCCCGGGACCTGACCGAAGCCTCCTCCCCGGGACCTGACCGGCGCCCCCTCTGCGGGACCTGACGGGCGCCCCCCGCCGGACCTGATCGGCGACCTGTCCGCGGGACCTGACCGGCGTCTCCTCCCCGGGCCCTGACCGGCGCCCCCTCCCCGGGCCCTGACCGGCGCCCCCTCCCCGGGACCTGACGGGCGCCCCCCTCCCCGGGACCGACCGGCGCCTCATCTCCGGAACCTGAGGGGCGCCCCCTCCCGGGACCTGACGGGCGCCTCCTCCCCGTGAACTGACGGGCGCCGCCTCCCCGGGACCGACGGGCGCCCCCTCCCCGGGACCGACGGGCGCCCCCTCCCCGGGACCTGACGGGCGCCCCCTCCCCGGGACCTGACGGGCGCCCCCTCCCCGGGACCGACCGGCGACCCCTCCGCCGGACCTGACCGAAGCCCCCTCCCCGGGACCTGACGGGCGCCGCCTCCCCGGGACCTGACCGGCGCCCCCTCCCCGGGACCGACCGGCGACCCCTCCGCCGGACCTGACCGGCGACCCCTCCCCGGGACCTGACCGAAGCCCCCTCCCCGGGACCTGACGGGCGCCGCCTCCCCGGGACCGACCGGCGCCTCCTCTCCGGAACCTGAGGGGCGCCCCCTCCCCGGGACCTGACGGGCGCCCCCTCCCCGGGACCTGACCGAAGCCTCCTGCCCGGGACCTGACCGGCGACCCCTCCGCGGGACCTGACCGGCGCCGCCTCCCCGGGACCGACCGGCGACCCCTCCGCCGGACCTGACCGGCGACCCCTCCCCGGGACCTGACGGGCGCCCCCTCCCCGGGACCGACCGGCGCCCCCTCCCCGGGACCTGACGGGCGCCCCCTCCCCGTGAACTGACGGGCGCCGCCTCCCCGGGACCGACCGGCGACCCCTCCGCCGGACCTGACCGGCGACCCCTCCCCGGGACCTGACGGGCGCCCCCTCCCCGGGACCGACCGGCGCCCCCTCCCCGGGACCGACCGGCGCCCCCTCCCCGGGACCTGACGGGCGCCCCCTCCCCGTGAACTGACGGGCGCCGCCTCCCCGGGACCGACGGGCGCCCCCTCCCCGGGACCTGACCGGCGCCCCCTCCCCGGGACCTGACCGGCTTCTCTTCCCCGGGACCGACCGGCGCCCCCTCCCCGGGACCGACGGGCGCCCCCTCCCCGGGACCTGACCGGCGCCCCCTCCCCGGGACCTGACCGGCTTCTCTTCCCCGGGACCGACCGGAGCCTCTTCCCCGGGACCTGACGGGCGCCCCCTCCCCGGGACCGACCGGCGACCCCTCCGCCGGACCTGACCGGCGACCCCTCCCCGGGACCTGACGGGCGCCTCCTACCCGGGCCCTGGCGGGCGCCTCATCCCCGAGACCTGACCGGCTTCTCTTCCCCGGGACCTGACCGGCGTCTCCTCACCGGGCTCTGACCGGCGCCCCCTCCCCGGGACCTGACGGGCGCCTCCTACCCGGGACCTGACGGGCGCCGCCTCCCCGGGACTGACCGGAGCCTCCTCCCCGGGACCTGACCGGCGACCCCTCCGCGGGACCTGACGGGCGCCCCCTCCCCGAGACCTGACAGGCGCCTCCTCCCCGGGACCGACCGGTGCCCCCTCCCCGGGACCTGACGGGCGCCCCCTCCCCGGGACCTGACCGGCGCCTCCTCCCCGGGACCTGACCAGCGCCTCATCCCCGGGCCCTGACCGGCGCCCCCGACCCGGGACCTGACGGGCGCCGCCTCCCCGGCCGGACCTGACCGGCGCCCCCTCCCCGGGACTGACCGGAGCCTCCTCCCCGGGACCTGACCGGCTTCTCTTCCCCGGGACCGACCGGCGACCCCTCCCCGGGACCTGACGGGCGCCCCCTCCCCGGGACCGACGGGCGCCCCCTCCCCGGGACCTGACCTGCGACCCCTCCGCGGGACCTGACGGGCGCCCCCTCCCCGGGACCTGACGGGCGCCCCCTCCCCGGGACCGACGGGCGCCCCCTCCCCGGGACCGACCGGCGCCCCCTCCCCGGGACCTGACGGGCGCCCCCCTCCCCGGGACCTGACGGGCGCCCCCTCCCCGTGAACTGACGGGCGCCGCCTCCCCGGGACCGACGGGCGCCCCCTCCCCGGGACCGACGGGCGCCCCCTCCCCGGGACCTGACGGGCGCCCCCTCCCCGGGACCGACGGGCGCCCCCTCCCCGGGACCTGACCGGCTTCTCTTCCCCGGGACCGACCGGAGCCTCTTCCCCGGGACCGACCGGCGACCCCTCCGCCGGACCTGACCGGCGACCCCTCCCCGGGACCTGACGGGCGCCCCCTCCCCGGGACCTGACGGGCGCCCCCCTCCCCGGGACCGACCGGCGCCTCATCTCCGGAACCTGAGGGGCGCCCCCTCCCCGGGACCTGACGGGCGCCCCCTCCCCGGGACCTGACGGGCGCCCCCCTCCCCGGGACCGACCGGCGCCTCATCTCCGGAACCTGAGGGGCGCCCCCTCCCCGGGACCTGACGGGCGCCCCCTCCCCGGGACCTGACGGGCGCCTCCTCCCCGGGCCCTGGCGGGCGCCCCCTCCCCGGGCCCTGGCGGGCGCCTCCTCCCCGGGCCCTGGCGGGCGCCCCCTCCCCGGGACCTGACCGGCGCCCCCTCCCCGGGACCTGACGGGCGCCGCCTCCCCGGGACCGACCGGCGACCCCTCCGCGGGACCTGACCGGCGTCTCCTCCCCGGGCCCTGGCGGGCGCCTCATCCCCGAGACCTGACCGGCGCCGCCTCCCCGGGACCTGACCGGCGCCCCCTCCCCGGGACCGACCGGCACCCCCTCCCCGGGACCTGACGGGCGCCGCCTCCCCGGGACCGACCGGCGCCTCATCTCCGGAACCTGAGGGGCCCCCCTCCCCGGGACCTGACGGGCGCCGCCTCCCCGGGACCGACCGGCGACCCCTCCGCGGGACCGACCGGAGCCTCCTCCCCGGGACCTGACGGGCGCCTCCTCCCCAGGACTGACCGGCGCCTCCTCTCGGGGCCCTGACGGGCGCCTCCTCCCCGTGAACTGACGGGCATCTCCTCCCCGGGCCCTGACGGGCGTCTCCTCCCCGGGCCCTGACGGGCGCCTCCTCCTAGGACCTGGGGAGCGCCTCCTCCCCCGGCCGTCGCGCGCCCCTCCTCAGACCTCCTTCCGGTCCCTCGCGGCCCGCCTCTCGCAGCAGTTTCGCTTCTGAGTCTGAGATCTGCGACCAGCGCGGCGGGGCCTCGGGAAGCGGCGGCAAGTGTGTGGGGGTCGGCGCTGGGGGAGGGTGGTGGGCACGGGCGTGTCCCGGAGGGTTGGGATGCACGCGTGTGTGAGGGTGAGTGTGTGAGGGGGGGTCCTTGGGCGGAGCCCGCGCCGCCGGAAGCCTGCCGACCGTCGGGGCTGCTGTGGGGCCCGCGGAGTCCCCGCCGGGCCGGGCCTGGGGAGGGAGGGAGGGCGCTCTCCCCGCACGCCCGGGCCTCGGGCGCGGCGGAGCCCGGTGTGTGCCCGCCGAGAAGGCACCTGCCAGGGAAGAGAGGTCTCCAGAGGACATCCTCGGTGACTGCGAGAGACGTTATGGGATGCCAGTAGCCCATCTCGCAGCTTGAGCCGAAGCCCTGTTTTTATGTCTGGCACTGTCAACAGGGAAAATAGTGGTCACCCTCCGAACTGCTGCTCGCACCTCCGCGCCCCTGCCCGCCAAGGCGCAGGGGTGGGGAGTGGGGGCAGGGCGAGGTTCCCCAAGCAGCTGCCGGCCGCAGTGGGTGCCTCTGGTCAGGCCTCCCTCCCTGTCACGGGTCGTCGGGTCCTTGCCGCTGGAGGCCAGGAGGCCCAGCCCGCGGGACGCCCCCTCCCAGGCGGGGCCTGCCTCCTCTGCTTCCGCAAACCCCCAGTGCTCCCGTCACCCCGAGAGCCGGCCCCTCCCTCACTCTGCGGGAGCTCTGTTCCCGGGGACAACCCTTCTTTTCCCAGCTCTTTCCAGGTCTTTCTCTCAGGTCTGAGAGGTCGACAGCAAAGACGCGTTGGTTCTTCTGGTTGCCTTATTTACTTCCGTTATCATCCCGGTTGGGGCTCCGTTGCGACTTTATTAACCTGGTGTCCTTTGTTCCCTGTGGGGTGGGAGTGGGGGCCGGCAGTGGGGTTCCAGTAGAGTCAGATTTGATGATCTCGGGGGAATCCTTCAGCGGCCACCCAATTACTTCAGGGCTACCACCAGTCATGAAGAGACAGTTCTTGATGTTTATGAGAGTAGGAAAGAGTTTCACGCTCCCTCACTGAGTTCTCTCTTGCTACAACTTGGGTGAGGAAGCCTTCCTTGTTCTCTGTCGCTGTTAGTGCTTGGTCTGAGAAAACTTTCTGCAACTAGGGAGTGTTACATATGGGCGATCATGTAGCCGCCAGTGACTGCAGCTGTTAAGCAACTGAAATATGGCTGGAGGGATTGAGAAACGGAATTTTATTTAATTTTAATTAATTTAAATATAAGTGGCCACATGTGATCGTCACCACCATTTTCCACAACACAGCCTCATTTTATGTGCCATCTAAATCCCAATCCATTTCAGTGGCAGCCGGGGCAGTGCATGGCACGGAGGCTCAGGTGAGGTGTGTTTCCATACCTTTGGATTTTCATCTCTGCCTCTAGCTCCCATATTGGAACTTGTCAGGAAAAGCCATGGCCTCAGCCAGCAAGATGAAGGAGGAAGCCAAGTGTGCCATCTGCCTGTCCCTAATGTCTGAGCCTATGAGCATCAGCTGTGGACACAGCTACTGCAAACTGTGCATCATCAGCTTCCTTGAGCAACAGGAAACGTTAAGTATGGTCCCCTGTCCCCACTGCCGGGCTCCATTTCATTTGGCCAGCCTCCGGCCCAACAAGCAGCTGGGAAGTCTCATTGACGTCATCAAGGAGATGGACCATGAGATGTCGTGTAAGGAACACGGAGAGCACCTCCACCTATTCTGCGAAGACGAGAGCCAGCTCATCTGCTGGCGCTGTGAGCGGTCACCGCAGCACAAAGGGCACCACACGGTTCTCATCGAGGACGTATGCCAAGACTACAAGGTGAGCGTATGTGTTGGAGGGCTTTGGCGAGTAGCACTCGCATGCTGCTCCTTGGGGACTGAGGTTATTTAGCCTACAACCTGAGAAAAGGATCCTGAAATCCTTGTCTGTCATCATGTCACCCTTCATGTCATGTCTTTCATGATACGAGAAATAGTTTCTTATGGGTCCTCATTGAGTCAAGTCCCGACTGTCCATCCTGACCTTCAACAGGATGGTCACACTCTTGTTCCTCTCCATTCTTGCTATGATGAACATCTCCCTGCTCCAGAATGCAATGTGCTCAAACCCAGACCTGCATGTTTTATTGCTTCGCACCATGTATATAATTTTAGAAACCACAATGTGCAAGACCATATGATACACTCTGAAAACACAGGAGACAAAGATATACCACCTTTTAGGTATCCTATAGTCTAGTGGGGAAGATAAATCAGCAAAAAGACTGCCGGGAATCAACTGGTTAGGGTGGTGAGGAGGGACACCAAGGGGTGGGGAGTGGTATCTGAGGAGTCTTCTCAGAAGTGACTCCTGAAGAACATGTAACAGTTAACCATAGATATAGGCATGGAGAAAAGAGGGGGCATTCCAGATAGAGGAGACCAAAAGTGCAAGGGATAGCCAGGGTGGGGGATGCAGGGAAAGGCAGTGGCGATGGCCTGGGAAAGGAGGTTGGCCCGGAACTGTGGTATCAACTCAGAGTCGAAATCCTAGCCCAGAGTAGTACTGGCCACTGGGGGGTTTTTATTTGCAGATCGAAGGATCAGGTTGACATTGAAAAGGACATTCTGGCCTTGAAAGTAAAAGGAGTATCTAGGAGTAAAATTCAGCTTATTCCTATAAGAAGGGGGAAAGGGGCAGTTTCACGCAAGATTCAGGAAGGGGAGCTAAAGGATTTGAAAATGATTGTTCATGGAGGATGAACTGGAGGGAGAGGTTTGGGGCAAGTCCTGTTTCTCACTCAGAAGTAGTAAAGGAAGGCTGGCCTTTGCTGTAGGGAATGAAGAAAGGGCACAGTCCTGCCACCTTACTCTCTCACCTGCCTAGATTTGAGAAAAATGTCCCCAGTGCGGGGCTCCTTATTCCCGCCCCCGTGAGGTGGAGGTGGGCTTGTAGTAAGGTTCTGGGTCCCCTGGATAGCAACGGCAATACAGTCTTTGACTGACAAGTTTCATAGAGCCCTTTCTTGAGAGTACTCAAGAATTAATGAGTATACTTATTGGATTTACGGAAGACGGGAGCTGATCCTTTGGTCACAACTAGCAGTTTAGGTCAGCTTAAAATTGCTTTCCATGGAAACGTGAGAAACTCTTTCGAAAAATAACCCAAAAGCTTGACATAGATACAGAATCATTTTAAATTGGCTTCACGAATTACCACTCTTCAAAAGTACCAGAGCTCCCCTCGTCCATTAACTGTTTCTAGTAACTTTCGCTGACATCCTGGTCTTTCCTTCCCGACTCACCATAACACATTCAAAGTTCCATGTGCATCACTATGGCATTGGTTATGTTTGGTTCAACACATTATTTTATAAAATCTTCTTTTAGATGATGATTAGCTTGTTCTGTGTGAAGTGTTTCCCTGGCAAGACTGTAGTGGTGGATATAACCCAGGCCCTGGGGTAGTGGACGATGTTGGAATCACAGCTCGGTTCAGCCACTCAGAACCATCTATTAGTGGGAACCAGTTATTGCACCTTGGGCAAGTTATTTAACCCCTTCCTAAGCCGCAGTTTCTGCTGCACAGAAATGATGTTACAAATCCTACCGATTGGGGCGCCTGGGTGGCTCAGTCGTTAAGCGTCTGCCTTCGGCTCAGGTCATGATCCCAGGGTCCTGGGATCGAGCCCCGCATCGGGCTCCCTGCTCGGCGGGAAGCCTGCTTCTCCCTCTCCCACTCCCCGTGCTTGTGTTCCCTCTCTTGCTGTGTCTCTCTCTGTCAAATAAATAAAATCTTTAAAAAAAAAACCCAAAAAACAAAACAAAACAAAAATCCTACCAATTGCTCAGTGCTGCCAAGGGAATCAAATATGTGATTGCACATCCAACCCTCAGTGTGCTTCCTAAACTACCAGAAATGACTCAGTGTATATTCAGTGTTATTCTAATAGTCTTGGAGGGCTGGGGTTCCCCTTACATGCCTAATGAAGAGTTACTAATTGAATAGACTTTATTCACCCAATTTTTCCTTCAGGAAAAGCTTCAGAACGCTGTGACAAATTTGAGGCAACTAGAAGAGGAATGTATGAAACTGAAGGTGTTCACAACAAAGCAAATAAGCGAGTGGAATGTAAGAATTTGTGTTTATTGATCTCAAGCTCTTTTCCATCCTAGAATGTAGGCATAGAGGATGGTTGGCAAAACACAATGATAATTTATTTTTACTAAACCAGACCAAATGAAACCAGATGAAACCCCCAAAAGAAACTGTTATTTGTTTTTATGCCCCTAGTTGTCTACATCTGTGAGAATTTATCTCCAATCCCTTCAACTTTTCGGTAGTAATTGGCTAGGATTCCTGATGCCTCAGGAGAAGCAGAATTGGTACGTCTATTTAAGTTAGAGCCATCCTTGACTAGGTTTCAAATTTTAAACCCCTCAAAGTACCTTCCCGGTTTGAAGGCCTCAACTTTATTACTTTGGCATGCTTACCACAGTGCAGGCTGTGGTTCAGAAATCAATCTTTGTGAACATTAAGGAAACAGAATCACTCCAGGTTGAGATTCATATTGCTCAAGCCCATGAGGCTGGTAAAAGAAGTCTCTTTGATTTATAAGGAGGGTCTTAAGTGCTGCAAGAACCTATACATATAAACTGCAGACTAAGAGTCTCTAAGATGATCTGCATTGGCTGACTAGCTCCCCATGATCAGAGATGCATCCCCTTTTGGAAATATTTATGTAATCCATCAACTTGTAGCCAAATCCCTCAGGCTGGTGGGCCATTTTGCCTTTCTCAGGGGTCTCTTCCATCCTCTGCCCTGATCCTTTGTTTGTGGATGTTAAACTCTCCAAGGACGCTCTTACTTCCCTTATTTCTGGGCTCTTGGGCCATGCGGAGGATCTTGATTATAACTGATATATACAGAAACCCCATCCATGACCCTTCTCGCACATCCTCTCAGTCATCAAAACCCTGTCTGAATTGGGGAAGCACTAGTGGAAATTGCAATTCTGTCTCTCCCAAAATGAAAGCCGGTCCCCAAAAGATGTAGCACTTGGCTTCTGTCAGTCTTACACATAAAGATGATTACTGGGACCCTGGGTTGGTGGTGAATATTTCTCAGTTAACTATGATAAAATCCTGCCACCCAGACCCGCCCCTGCTGAGACCATGGACTTCCCCCTACTAACCTGGTTGTCTTAGAGTCCAGGCTCAGTGATGTTTATTACAAGCTTTTGCTTCAAGAAATTTCCTCAGGCTCAGAAATACCTCCTTATGACCCAATAAAAACTCAGTTTTTTTTCTCTGTAACTGGTAAAGTGTTTGACCTCAGGCTTAGTTCCACAATTAAATTATCTGGCACCTCCTTCCCCCTGCATCTTGGCTGAAGAAGAAGGAAATAAATCAGGTGACTGTAGAGAATCATGACAACTGTCCTCTCCCACATCTGAGTGCCCACCTCCTAGGCATGACTCTGTGGCAGGGAATTTATGACTTTCTTCCAGCTCTGATGACTCAGTAGCTGAGAAAACGTTCTTCTGTGTATGTTAAAATACACATAACATAAAATTTACCATTTTAGTCATTTGTAAATGTACAGTTCATTGGCATTAAGTACTTTCTCATTGCTGTACAACTATCACCACACATCTATTAGTGGGAACTAATAGTGGAAACTAATCTCCAGAACTTTTTCGTCATCCCAAACTGAACTCTGTGCCCATTAAACACTAACTCCCCATTCCTTTCTCCTCTCAACTTCTGGTAACCACTATTCTACTTTCTGTCTCTATGAATTTGACTAGCACAGATACCCCATATAAGTGGAATCATATAATATTTGTCCTTCTGTTTCTGGCTTATTTCACTTAGCATAATGTCTCCAAGATTTATCCACATCATAGCATACGTCAGAATTTCATTCCTTTTTAAGTCTTAATAGTATTCCTTTATCTATATACGACATTTTATCAATTCATTCATCGATGGACATTTGGCTTGTTTCTACCTTCTGAGCATACTTTCTTGACTCTAGGAGAAGATAGAGATTCAGAAACAAAAAATCCAGTCTGACTTTAAGGATCTTCAGAGATTCCTACGAGAAGAGGAGAAGTCTCATCTGTGGAGACTGGAGAAAGAGAAAGAGCAGACTCTAAAGAGACTGAGAGATAACGAGGCCACTCTGGAACAGAAGAGCCAAGAACTCAAGAGTCACATCCTGGAACTAGAGGAGAAATGTCAGGGCTCAGCCCAGAAGGTGCTGCAGGTGGGGCTGTGCCCTCGGGGGGAAGGAACTCTTGAGCTATTAAGGGAAGAAGGGTGAGGGAACATGGGCAGATTGGCGAGGCCTGCCTGCCTCACTCAAAAGTGGCACATTGGTATGGGGAATTTAAAAAAATGTTTCTTTTAGATATACCTCAGTATGGGGTGGCCTTTACTAGTCTATAGCAAATCACAAAAATCTGTTCATGTGAATCGGAAAAATGTAGCCCTTCTGGTGGATATGGTGGGGTCCTTGGCTAAATGGAATCACGGGGTAACTTTTGCTACCACCTGCCTCTTTCTGTGTGCACAGAACCCCGTGAAACTGCCTCCTGAAATCCTCCACCAGGTGACTGGTGGGTAACAAAGTAGGGCAGCCAACATGAGTGACAGTCTCTTCCCTAATTTGCTTGTAGAGCCCTCCACAGCTCTTATGGGGCCTTCTTTCAGCTATATGAAAGATCCAGCCCATTAAGATAAAGTATGCCTGGAGCTATTAATTCTAGTTCCCGCTAATAGGACTCGAGGTTACACTGTAAGTCTGAGACTAGCATGACTGCAGCACCACCATATGATATGCCTGCCACCACAATCTTAGTGGGCCATTCTCAGGGGCTGTGCGTGGACTCACCACTCAGGACCCTTAGTGATAGGTGGTCTTTCATATGGGCTCACTCGGAAAGGGATTAGGTCACTGACAGCAAGTCTTGGCAGAGGAAGCATAGGCAAAGCTCCTAGGCCTCTTCCCTAAGCATCCCACAGGCTGTGATTGCAGACACCACAGCTTGCCACAGATCTCAGCAGGAAAGACGACAGACTCAGAGGTTGATAAACATCCTGCCATGCTGACTACCCCAGGGCACTGCGATGGGAATCATTCTGTCTGAGTATCCATCAATATCTAAGGCTAGGGTCACTCTCTTAACTTCTTTGGAAGGAGCATTTATAGAGAACAGCCCCATGTGCCTCCACTTACTTTTTGTCTTTGTTTCTCTGTAGGATGTGAAAGACACTTTGCACAGGTAAGTCCTATATGAATGCGCGAGGGAAGGGGTACGGGTATATAAAGTTGAACGGAATGTATCACTGAAGAAGTCCTTGGCCTCTGCTTATTCTAGGAGTTGGGCTATGACGTTGGAAAGACCAGAGGCCCACTCTTTGGAGCTTGATACTGTGTACAGTGTTTCTGAGCTTTATTTTGATGTGAAGAAAATGTTAAGGAACTATCAAGGTATGTGAAGAATCCCTAAATGCTATGGATGGAAGGGGCCTTAAGTTGTAACCATGTTCACCACCTGTCCCCAGCTGGGCTCACAGCAGGAGAGGTCATTTAGTGATTTTCAGTGGAGCTGTCTTGCCCTCCCTTGTTAGCATGCTCTAGTGCTTAGACAAGGACATAGCATACTGGTTATCTGTGCAGATCCTTCACATTCCTGATCCCCCATATATTGGCTGTGTCACCCCAGGCAAATAACTTCCTCAGTTTCCACAGCTGAAAAATAAAGATATGAACAATTCCCACTTCACTGGGTTGTCATGAAAAGTAAGTGTGTCAACATGTGTAAAGTGCTTAGTGCAGTGTCTGGGACACAGTGTTTGTGGTTAATATTTTAATCAACTCTCAGAGCAATATAAGAAAGATCAGTGAGTATTATGGACTTTGATTCAAATGGTTTCAGGACCTTGACCCAGACAACACAGATGGTAAATATTAGAACCATAATGAAAAATGAATTTTACCAATTCCAAAGCCTGAACTTCCTGCTTCATTGATTCTCTTAATCAGTGCTTTCTATATTTCTGCAATGTTATTTATAATTACAAAATTTAAAAAGCTCTGAAGACTGAAAGTTTTTTAAAACTTGTTTGGCTACAAAATCAGACCTAGCCTAATATGATTTGGTGACTGTATTATCTCTTCCAGTAAACAAATTTAGCAGCTTAAAATTGTACACACATATTATCTCATAAGTTTTGTGGGTCAGAAATCTGGGCACAGCTTAGTTGGTCCTTTGCTTAGGGTCTCCCAAAGCTGCATATTAAGGTGTTGGGCAGGCTGGGTTCCTGGAGACTAGACTAGGGAAGAATTCTCTTCTAAGCTTACTCAGGTTGTTGGCAGAATTCATTGCTTTATGATTACAGGGCATAGGGCCCTGGCTTTTTGTGAGCTGTTGGCTGGAGGCTGCCCTCAGCTTCTAGAAGGCACCCCTCAAACTCTTGCACATGGGCTTCTCAACATGGCCAATTACTTCTTCAAAGTGAGCCCAGGATAGTGTCTCTAGAGCATGTCTTTTAGAAAGACGGAGTCCCATATAATAAAATATAATATTAGGAGTCACATCTCATCACTTTTGCCATATTCTGTTGGTCAGAGGTAATTCACAGGTCCTGCCCACACTCAATTGGAAGGAATTGCATAAGAGCATGAACACCAGAAGGCTGGGACTATGGAAGACCAAACTGAATCTAACAATACATTAAAAAAAATCATTTGCCATGATCAAGTGGGATTTATTCCTGGGATGCGAGGGTGGTTCAATATTGGCAAATCAACAATGTGATACATCAACAACAAGAGAAAGGATAAAAACCATATGGTCATTTCAATAGATGCAGAAAAACATTTGACAAATTATAACATCAATTCATGATAAAAACCCTCAACAAAGTAGGTTTAGAGGGAACATATCTCAACATAATAAAGGCCATATATGAAAAACCCACCACTAACGTACTACTCAATGGTGAAAAACAGAACTTTACCCCTAAGCTCAGGAACAAGACAAGGATGTCCACTCTCACTACTGTTATTCAACATAGTACTGGAAGTCCTCGCCACAGCAATCAAACAAGAGAAATAAATAAAAGGCATACAAATTGATAAGGAAGAAGTAAGACTTCCACTATTTGTAGATGACATGATACCTTATATGGAAAACCCCAAAGACACCAGCAAAAAACTACTAGAACTACTAGAACTATATTTAGTAAAGGTGCAGATTACAAAATCAATATACAGAAATCTGTTGCATTTCTCTACACTAATAATGAAGCAGCAGAAAGAGAAATTAAGGAAACAATCCCATTTACAATTGTACCAAAAATAATAAAATACCTAGGAATAAACTTAACCAAGGAGGTGAAAAACCTGTACTCTGAAAACTATAAAACACCGATGAAGGAAATTGAAGACAATACTAACAAATGGAAAGATATTCCAGGCTCCTGGATTGGAAGACCAAATATTGTTAAAATGTCTACACTACCCAAAACAATCTACAGATTTAATGCAATCCTTAATCAAAATACCAACTGCATTTTTCACAGAAGTAGAACAACAACAACAAAAAATTCTGAATCCAAAACCCATTTGGCCCCACGGGGTTCAGATAAGGATTATGAACCTGTATTTGTCTTCCCCTCAAGTTAACAACAACAAACAACAATAAGAACAATTACAAAACAAAGCAACTCTGTATCTGATCCTATAAAGATTCAGGAAAGGCAAAAATAGGACTCCGTGCAAATCACATCCAGATTTAACCGAGCAGATTTGTCTACTCTTGGCTTTTACAGAAGGATTACAACATTGTGCAAGTCAATCTCTTTCTAAAATGGGCTCATCTTTTAACTAGATCATTTATCATATTTATCATATTATTAAAACTTTTCGTCTTTCAAAAGTAATACAAATAAATTATAATCAGTCAAACAATATAGATAGATATGAAGAAAAATTCAAGGTTTCTCCCGCCTCTCTCCAATCCTACTTCTCCAGGTAACAGTATCTATGTCTTTCTCTGTTTGTTTGTTTTTTTTTCTTACAAACATTTAATATATAGAATGTCACTCATTGCTTTTTAAAGCTAATATTCCCTGAGTACATCATAATTATACGTAATCATATCCCTACCATTGGAGCTTCAGGCTGCTTCCAGCACTTGGGTATCAAACACTGCTGTAAATAACTGTCTGGGCCGTGCAAACTTCCATCCTTGTGTTTTCATACTGGGCTTGTTGTTAATCTTAATGCATATTACGTGTGGCAACATACAGTCTCACCAGCACCAAGAAAAGCAACTTACATATACCTTTTCATGACAGATGAGAAAAGCTGCACATGTGTTACCTGTTTCATACCACAGTCCTCTCTGTAGGAAGCATTTTTCACTTTATAGATGAGGAAACTAAGACACAGTGAGGCACCAATAAGTGGTAACTCTGTATCTCTCAGAACACACTCTCTTAATCACTCTGCAATGTGGCAAAAAAATGAATATGTTGTGGTTTTGAATCCATTGTTTTGTGGAGCGGGCATTGAAGTTTATGTATAGTTGGTTTTGTTTGTTGATGGTGCACACCATGCTACCGTGAATACTTTTCCATGTGTCCTTGTGTTCTGTGGATGGTTTCCTCTGAGGCTATACCTTGAATTGAAAATGCTGCTGTGTAGGGATGCACATCTTAATTTGACCAAATACTGCAGATCTTGAAATTGTATCGGTTTATATCCTGCCGACAACATAAGAACTCCCACCATTCCGCATCTCCCTGAGTCTTTGCTTATAATTTATAATTTTTGACAATCTGATGGATCTGAAATGGTACCTAATTGTGGACTTAATTTGTGCTCTTTGATTTCACTAGCAAGGTTGAGCTTCTTGTAAGTCCATTAGCCTTTTAGTCTTCTGTGATTTATCCATGATTTGCTCTGATTTAAGCATTTTTCTATTGGGTTCTTTCTCTTATTGACTCATGGGAGCTTATTATAGCTAATATCTCTGGTAATGTATGGCATTTTACATTTTCATTCTATCTGTTGATATATAGGGTTTCAAGACACATTTTCCTTCAAAGTCTATGACTTGTTTCCAAGGAGCTCCGTCATCATCAATAGGCATTGAATTTATCAATGAGTTAGTTGTATTAATTGATAGGATCATGCAGTTTCTCTCCTCTAATCTGTTAATGTGGTGATTATGATAATTTTCTAATGTTAAACCATAGTTGCAGTCTCAGAAAAAGCTAAATTTTGATATATATACAGTATATATAACATAGGTTTGATAGCCAAATATTAATTTGTCATGAAGATCATTATTATGCTGTACTTAGGTTGCTAGATAAAGGTTAGTTGCATAGAGCAGTTAAACAAATAATCCATTGAGCAAACAGGAATGCTGACATTTGAAAGTAAAGAAGGTTTAGCTGATACCTATATTCTGATAGCATGATGACTATGATAGAGTGATGATGGAGACAGTTGCTAGGTATGTCAGGAGAGGCTGCTTACCCATCAGACCTCCTCACATAAAAGTGAGTCATATGTTTTCCTGGTAAGTGTGCCTCTGCAAACACCTTTCTTCCCCATTACTATAACTAATACTCTGTCAGCTCTGTTGATGACAACATTGTATGTTGGCTCCTCACCTTTACTCCTGGACTCTTTGTCTAGTTGGTAATAAAAACATCCCAGTCTTTTCATACAATTATACACACAAACAGAATATTATATATCTAATAATATATATTAAAACATTTGATATATAATATAGAGAGATTATTTTTGTATTATGTTATGTTAGTCACCATGCTGTACATCATTAGTTTTTGATGTAGTATTCCATGATTCATTACATGAGTTTTACTAAGAACTATTTTTCTAGAAAGTTATTCATGTTGTTGATATTTTCAACTTTATTAGCAACATAAAGTTTATCATAAATTCTCTTAATTTTTAATTTCTATATGCATTCCAATTTTGACTTCTTTTTTTTTCTCCGTTGATAAATCTTTTTAGAGATATGTCTCTTTTCATGAAAGCTACTGTTGGCTTTTCCCTCTCCATTGCATTCTTACTTTCTTTCATTTCATTGGTTTAGTATTTAAACTTTAGTTTCCTTTTTAAAAAAAAAAATTCTCTTCGGGTTTCTCTGTTCTTTTTTTTTTTTTAAGATTATTTATTTATTTATTTAGAGAGCACATGATCAAGGGGAGGGGCAGAGGGAGAGGGAGAGAGAGCATCTCAAGCAGACTCCCCACTGAGCTCAGAGACCCATGTGGAGCTCTGTCTCATGACCCTGAGATCATGACCTGAACCTAAACCAAGAGTTGGATGCTCAACTAACTGAGCCACCCAAGAGCTCCAAATCTCTGTTCTTTTTCTATTTTAAGCTGGATAGTTAGCTTCTTAATTTCTAGCTTTTTTCTCTTTCTAAAATAAGCACTTAAAGGCTATAAATTTTCCCAAAAATTCCACCTTAGCTTCGTTGTATAATTTTTTATATGTAGCATTTATTATTGCTCAAGTCTGTATGTCATCATATTATGATTTAGAAACACTTACATTTCCTAATATTGAGAAGATTTTTTATTGATCTTTTTAATTGGTTTCTAATCTAATTGTATCGAGGTGAGAGAACATGGTCTATGCAATATAGGTTCATTGCAATTTGTTCAGACTTGCTTTCTGACTAGTCTACTCAATTAGTACATATTCCATCTATACTGGAAAAAAGTGTGTATTCTCTGTTTATTAGTTGCTGAACTTTACATATAGTTACTAGATGGGGCTTGTTGGGTTGTTCAGATCTTCCGTATCTTCCCTTTTTTGCCTGCTTGATCTATCAATTATGGGAAAAAAGCGTGTTAAAATATCTCATGATGATTGTAGAGTTGTCATTTTCTTCTTGTAATTCTGTAATTTTTACTTTGTATATTTTGAGACTATAGTATCAGTGCATGCTTGTTTGGAATTAGGATCTCTTCCTAGTGAATTATATATTTTTCCTTATTAGGTAACCCTTTTCGTCCTTGGTAATACTTTGCCTTAATATCATTTGATATGAGTATATAACTGTAACAGCTATATATTATCCATCCTTTAACTCTAAACCTTTCTATGTCTTTTTGTTGTATGTGTCACTTATAAGCAATATGAGGTAGAATTTTTAAAATCCAGTTTGATATCTTCTCCTTCAAGTGGTATTGCCAACCTGTAAGCATTTTAATTTCTTAACTTGGGTTTTCCTGAATCATTAAGATAATAAAAATTGAACTCCAAACTTTTTTGAGTCAGGCTCATGATAAGAACCGATTGGACAGCATTTAATAAAGGGATTATCTACAAAGATAAGGATTGGGGTCATTGCATAAGGAATAGTGAAGCAGCCAGGGCTGGGAATAGGTAGGGAGCCATCACCTCCCTGGGGCCTCAGTAGCAGGTGGAGGAATTGTAGGAGAGTATGACCAGAGGCAGGGGAAGGCAGACCCTCCAAGTGATAGGCAGTGGGGAGGGACTTGGAGTACTAAATACTCTGAACTCTGCTTCTTTTTGCCCTATGGTCTCCTCTAGTACTTCCCATTGGTTTTGGAGAGGATAGTAACCATGTCAACTCTGGTTAGTTCTGGTCCTTGGCTCCTGTGAGTGACTAAGATGATATTATTATTACTACCACTTACTGGGCACTTACCATATTCCCGGAATTTTACTGAGTACTGAGCATACATTAACTCATTCAATGCTCTCACTATTCTTTGTGACAGATATGATAATTTCTACTTCATATGTAACAAAACTGAGTCTTGGAGAATGACTTGCCTAAGCTCTCACAGCTAGTAAGAGACGATGCTTGGGTTTGAGCACAGGCTGGTTTTATTTAAATTAAACTGTGCTCTTGGCAACAAAAAATGTGTCTTATCTATTTACTTACTTTTTTTTCAGTCAATGTGACTCTGGATCCAGATACAGCTCATCGTGAGCTAATTCTGTCTGAGGATCGGAGACAAGTGACTCGTGGATGCCTCCAGGAGAATCTGGACAACTCTTCTAAGAGATTTAGGATCTTACCCTGTATTCTGGGCTGTGAAGGCTTCACTTCAGGGAAACATTACTTTGAAGTGGATGTGGGAGAAGGAACTGGGTGGGACTTAGGAGTCTGTCTGGACAGTGTTCAGAGGGACGTTGGTCTGATACAGGAGCCTCAGTCTGGATTCTGGGTCATTAGACTATGCAAAAATAAAGGCTACTTAGCACTTACCTCTCCCATAACTTCCCTTTATCTGAGGGAGAAGCCCCTGGTTGTGGGGATTTTTCTGGACTGTGATGTCGGAGTTGTATCCTTTTACAACATGACCACTGGATCCCACATCTTTACCTTCCCAAAGGCCTCCTTCTCTGATACTGTCCGGCCCTATTTCCGGGTTTATCAACATTCTCCTTTGTTCTTGCCTCCCCCAGACAAGTAAGGAAAGAAGTAAAATCTCCTTCTTGGTTTAACTAGCATAGAAAATATAATGTCAGCCCTGTGAGGGCAGAAATTTGGTCTGTTTTCTTCACTTCTTGTACTCAGAACAGTCCTGGGCTTTTAGTGGCTACTTAATACTTTTGCTTTGAATGAATGGATAGAACAACGGCAGAAATACCACAGATGGTCAGCCTGAGCTGGGGAAAGCCAGATAATAGCAATGATCATGCATTGTCTTCCAAATTCCCCCCCCCCCCCCCCAGTGGATTCAGAGCTTTGATTTCCAAGAGTCTTTGGGTGACCTGCAGGGTGACCCAGAGGTCAGGAGGTCTGAGTTCTCCCAGTTTGTTTGATGCCATAGGAACTCATGGGTGGGGGGTGAGGTAAAGCTGCAATGGTCTCTGCCAACTGCAAGAAAGAGCATGAGAACCAACATAGTGACTCTTCTAACCACTGACATTTGATTATTCATCTGAGCCATAGCCCTGGATGATGCAGTGAGTGCAGATGCCTTCCAGACCTAGTGAGCTCTGCCTGGGCAATAACACGTAAAGTATGAAAGAAGAGTTAAAATTGGCTTACAGTGATATGTTTCAAATGGGAAGGAGATTCGGAATAAAAACAAATTTTCTTGGGGGACTCAGTACTGGAAAAGAAGTTGATATGTTCCAGACTGTGCTAAGCCAGCTATCTTGAAATAGCTAAAGATCTCAGCAAATAGTTACCACTGGCATGATTGTTGGCAGACTTTGTTATGATTCTTCTATGATCAAAGAGACCTTAGCTATACCTGGGTCTATTTTGAAGAGAACATTCCATGGCAAACCTAAATTATCATGGCTGAGTTGACTAATGGCAAGATCATAGTGAAGTCAGCCAAGCCACAAACAATGTAAGTGATGCGGGTGTGATGCCTGGGGCTTTGGAAGCTGTCTGAGATCCTAGGGATGGTAGAGGTGTGGCTAAAGGGAGCTGGCAAATTTGGGGAGGTGCCGTACCAGCCCTGGTCTCTGGATTTCCTGGACTGTCTACATGGGAGAGACATGAACTTGCTTCAGCCACTATCATTTTGGGTTTTCTAGTCAATGGAACTTAATCTAATCTACCAGGGCACAGTGAGTTGCTGTTGCTTTAAAAAAAAAAAAAGTAGCCATAAAATCATCTACTCCTTACATGTTTTGTTTCCATGTATTTAATTGGAATTCTGTAACTTTCTGAATTTCATTTGTATGTATGAGTTTGTTTAGATTTTCATTCCCCCTCTTGAGTCAGTCAGGTCATTCAATTTCTTTTAAAAAGCAGTTTATTGAAGTTTTCAAATGTATTTGCACATAATTCTTCAAATTACTCTCAAAACTATTAATTCCTGTATATGCTCTTTCAGGTTTCCATTTTATTTCCTGTTTTCTTTTTTAAAAACCTTTATTAGAGTAGCTAATGCTTTGTTTAATGTAGTAGCATTTCTTCCCGTTAAGGACGAGCAGAACTTATTTTTTGTTCTCTAACTTGCCTGAACCCCAGTCAGTTTCTCATTTTATCTTTATTATCCTTATTGTTTCCAAAGGTTTATTTTGTTAATTAAAAAAAAATTTTTTTTAGTTGAATGTTTATCATCATTCTTTCTTGTTCAGCAATCTGAGTGTTTAAGGGTATAGACTTTTCCCTGAGCAGGGTACTCAATTCTAGGCCCTGTCAACATTCGGAGGCCACTCCCCACTGGGCAAGACCACATTCCAAGCTGTAGGATGGAGAAAGGGACATAGAAGTAGAGCAAAGGGCCTGCAGCCAGCAGCTAATTTTTATGTAGCTTCCGAAAACCTACCATACGGCTTCCTACTTGTACTGCATTAGCCAGAACCAGTGGGCAGAGACTGTGTGTGGTATCCTGTATGTATTTAGCCGGAAAAGAAGAGGGCCCCCCGGTGCCCCTTCCTCAGACCTTCTAGACAACCTCTCCCACTGCAGTTGCTTGCAAGGTCAGGTACGTGTGGTGTCTGTGACGCTGCACCAGAGGACCAGAGACCGAGCACAGCAGGAAGGAGAGGACAGCAATTGAGGGAGCCGCAGGAATGAAAACGATCAACCGACCCAGAGTCTGTGCTGAGGTAAGACCCAACCTCCTCACCATGGCCTAGAAGGCAAATTCTGGCCTCGAAGGCCTTGCCTTCCTGGATTAATAATTACTTTTCCTGCCTCTGACCTTCCACAAATAATGGTCTTCTCTTTGGGCCCAGACAGGGCCAAGGTTGTTTTGGCCCAAGGGCTTTTGCGCATGCTGTGTTCTAGGTTCAGAGTGGCCTTTTCATAGCTGCTTTTTCTGAAGCTGGGTGAGCTCATTCCGATCACCAGCTGTGCAGACAAGAATTGGGGGGCAGTTCACATCCCAGAAGGGAAACTTCAACCAAAGAGGGAATGGGGTGGATGGATAAAGTCTCCAACCCAAATGACCTGCAGAGGAACAATTCTGGGATGACTTCTACATGTTGCCTCAAAGGACATCCAGTGAAATGGAACCCAAGTGCTCACAGCGGTAATCAAGACAGGAATGCACCTACCACTGCCTTTTCCACCTTCCCTGCCTCGTGTCCGTGTTCCAGCACGCCTGCATTCTGGGGTCCCATTCTAGTAACCACCTGCACCCACTTCCAGGTCTGAGCTCAACTTTTCAGAGAGAGCAAGCACCACCACCTCCCTCTCTCGTGTCCTCTTTCTATAAATAAATATAGAAATGGATATAGATATCAAATGATTAAATCCACAGACATTTATTGTGGAATACTGTAAAATATAGTTAATTATACTCTCAGTTCTAAGGAACAAACACTCCTACTATGGTGGTAAATCACCTTCCCCATATATATGTTAGATCTTGCATGTTTTTCTCAGGGGAACTCTTCCCCATGGCATTAACAATTATTTTAATATGTGGTTTTAAATGACTGTAGCAACCTCATAATCACTCACATATACATTTGGGTTGTTTCTTGCAATTATAAGTAACGTTCAAATGAATATCACTGTATGTGATTAGGTCTTCAGCTCTCCTGTTTTTCCTCAGGGTGGGTTGCCAGAGTCACAGTATATGAACGTTTGGTTAAAAGACTGTTAGTATATTCTTGCCCCTCTCCTTCCTCTTCCCCCACTTCCTCTATTCCCTCTTCTGTTCCTATAGCTCTGGCTGTCATTGGCTAACCCCTCTAGGAGCTGGGAACCTTGGGGGGGCTTTGATAACAAGGGGAACTATGGGCAGGAGTTCAGATGGGAGAACCTTTCCCAGATGGGAGTGAAGAATGTTGTAGTTTGGAGGTGAAAACATCACTGAAGCAGAGATCACCTCATTAATACCCACTTCTGTTTCCTCATGTAAGAATGGGATGGATACAGAATTTTAAAAACTAGGGGGCTGAAGGGGCAGGGGGCAAGAAGCTGGACACATCTGGGATTTTACTTCAGAAGCAACACTTGCTTCTCCTCAAGGACGGACAGAGCTGTCACTGTTGTAGAAGACTAATTCAAGGCCATCCACGGAATGCGTGTCAATTTCTGCATCAAACCGCCCCAAAACTTTGTTGCTTCAGACTGCTATCAATCATCACACTCACAATGCTCTAGGTCAGCTGGAGGTTCTTGTGGGCAGGGCTGTATGTGGCTGAACCCGGCTGTGCCTTCTCGTGTGTCTGCAGCAACTGGAGAATCAGCTGGTGCTAGGTGATCTGGCGCAGCCTCACCCCTAAGTCTGGGGGCTGGCAGGCTGTTGCCTGGAGCGCCTCCTCCCGCTAGCAGGTGAGCTTAGCCTCTTTCACATGGTTGTTTCAGGGCTGTGAGAGAACCAACCAAAAGGGGAACAAGTTGCAAAGCACCTGGCTCTTTTGAAGCCTCTGCTTAGGTTACATTTGTTAAATCACTTGGCCAAGCCCAGATCCAAGCGATAGAGAAATACATTCCATTTCTTGATGGGAGAAGCTGCAAAGTCACAAAAGCAAAAGCGTACAAAGAGAAAGAGGATGAGATGAATTCAGGGCAATTTTTGCAATCTATCATTAGAAACTTATTGCTTAAAGTCTCTACATCTAAACTAAGGGAGGAATAGAGATTCAGAGACACTCTGAGTCCTTGGCCCATAGCAGATTCAGCCCCAGTCTCTCCCCAGAGACAAGGTCTACTAGACTCTTGGCAACATCAGTAATTCCACTCTGCCCACACAAACAGCTGAGCCCCTGGGACTCTGAGAACTGATCCTCACACCCACCTCTCTTAGCCCTGCCCCTCATGCTTTTCTATGTGGATAGATGCTTCTGTGATTATAACCAACCACCTGGACCTGCATATACAGGCACTGGCTTAAGAATGTGGTTTGTGAGACTCGTGCTGTGTGAATAACCTTGGGAGCCTGGTTTCTTAAAATATATGATCTGGCCTCCAGGTCAGAACTGGCCCTTCTGTTCCGAACACCAAGAGCTACAAATCTTGTCTCACAACCCCTCCTGCTCCAAGCAGGGCTGGCCCCCCAGGATGGAATCCGAGAGGGGTGGCAGACACAGAGAGCCCGGGCTCCTTGAAAATACAGCAACATGGTAACATGGAAATGCAGCTTGCTCCAAACTGCACGTAGGCGAACAAATGTTTAACTTCAAACCCTGTTATTTGCCCTGTGAATATGGTCTTTATGGGGATGGTCAGTTGGAAGTCTCAGCTGAGGGGAGGATGCTCTGCCCAGGGCTCCCAATCAGAACTCCAGCCTGGCTGTTTTCATGGGGCTTCCCCAGCCAATGAGGTTGGATGTTTTAAGTACCCGATTTGATGTAACTTTGCCTTATTCTCATTTATTGCCTACTATTAACTCCACTATGTGTAGATTCCTTTCCTCTTCTGTTTCTATAATAATAATAATGTTTTCTTTCCTTTTTGAAACCAAAACACGGCTGTTGTGAATCTTTTGTTCAGAACACATGCCCACCCATAACACCAGCCTGAAGTGGAGTCTGCACTTGGTTCTCTGGGACTCCCAGGGAAGGAAAAGAATTACCAGCAGCTGGAATTGGAAATGCAGGAAACTCCTCAGGCCCTTCACCCCAAATTCTCTTCTTCACCAGGAGGAATAAGGAAGACAGAGATTGTTGTTCAGGAAGGTGTTTGATTAGCATGTTAATGAGCATGGGGCCAAGAGAATCTACTATACTCCTTGAACTTATACAAATTTCTCTGGACAAGTAGATATGATCCAACCTGTCTTATTCTAGGAATCAGGTGTCTCATCACTCCAGTCCAGAGGAAGGGCCTGCAGTCTTCAGAGCTCATTCTTCTTCCCACCTGCCTTGCATCTAGCCATCTGACCCTCTCTGTCTTTCTCCAATGCCTAATCTCTCTGAGGACGGGACTGTTTTTGTTTTACATCTTGGTACCAATCCTAAGTGCCTGCTTTAGTTTGTTGGACACCTGGATCCATTAAAGATAGTAAGTGAAATATAAAAACGTTCACCTTTCTATGGTACAGCCAGATCTATGTCTGATTTCTGATTTGATTTACAAGTGGGTGACACCAGACTTCTGGGCTCTGTTTCCTCAAGGGTAAGACTGGGGCAATAATCCCAGGCTCAGGTACAAAGCACTAGGTATGTAACACAATAACTAGGCCTTTTCTGTTAGTTGATGTAACAATTGCAAAGCACTGCCATATACATGACCTGCTAAAGAGAACTTCTTGGGCCACCATCATGTAATCTTTGTGGGCTCCTGGGTAACTCAATCCCTTCTCTGGGCCTCCATCAGTCCAGGAAAATACTAACATAATTTTAGTGATGACAAAATAGAACCCAGATCAGTGGTTCTTAACTTTTGCAGTCCACTGTGGTTATCTGCAGAGCTTTTAGGTAACACACCGAAGCCGGCCTGCCCTAGACAAATTAAAAGGGGAATGTGAGCGAGGGGAGCCCAGGCAGAAGGTTTACATCTTGAGCTTCTGCAGTGACAGTGAAGGGACCTCTCCCCCCGAGGTGTCACTTCTTTGGCCTTACCCAGGTCTCCCCCTCCCCATGAGCCTCAAGGAGGACTGAGCACCTGCTTCTCTCCTGAGGCGGGTCCTGGGGGCGTTCAAGGTCCCACCCCCACTGGAGCCCCTCCTCTCGGTCACCGGCGGCGGGGAAGCGCCCGATGGGTGTGTGCCCCGAACCGGTGCACTGCCCGTAGGACTTCTCCTTCCACGCCGGGGATCATCTGCGCAGACTCCACCTCCGACCGGAGCGGGGAGGGGGGGAGACCTCGCGAGACCGGATCCGGCGCCAGCGCCCACGGAGCAGCGCCCGCGCCTCCGAGCGCGGCCCCGGCGTCTCCGGCCGCAGGAGCCCCGCCCCCAGCGCCGGCCCCGCCCACTCCAGCCTCCAGGAGCCGCGCATGCGCCGCCTCCGGGGCTCGTGTTCGGGCGTCTCGGGCCGTTTGCTGCGGTGTTTGTGGTTTCCTCCTGAGGGCGAGAGCTCTGAAAAAGGTGCTGATCGTGGTGCGCTCGTCAGGGGGTGAGGATGGAGACCCCACGTCTGAGTCGGCGGGAAGGAAAGAGGTGAGTCGCGTAGACGCCCCCGCAGGGCGGGGGGTCCGGGAACCGACGACCCCCTACTCGCCTTGAGCTTGTGGCCTGGAGCCACTGGGCTTTCCTCAGAGGCTTCAAATGGACAAGTACAAAAAAACAATGTCATGGAAACCTGCGTATCCGACCCCCAGATCTTTACAAGGTAACGTTTGACTGTGTTTGTTCCAGACTGTGTCGAGAGAAGTAAAAGCGGACAAGCGGAGCAAGAACTCACCGCCCATCGCCCCGAGAGTCCGCAGTGCTTCTGGAGATGGGGTGTCGGCTCCCAGGACCCCCTTTTTAATTAAAAATAGTAAAGGTACTTTCCGAAATACTAGATGCGGTCCGATATCATTTACACGCATTTTTAAGGACGGGCAAAGTAGCCTCGAGTGCTGTCTTGGCGCCCTGCCCGTTTGTGGCTCGCCTTTTGTCACTTGGCTTTTCCCCCCGCGGGTACTGATTTCTGTGATCTGGGTGGATACAGGAAGTGGAGTGCGCCCCACCGAAAGAATAAATCACAGCGAACGCCTTTGTTCCGCTTGGGGAGCGTTTGCGGATGTTGGTGGAGAGCTGGCCGACTGACGCTGCCCTCTCCTGCTGGTTCTAACCCTTCTGTGCTGCTCTTTCCAACTGACCTGAATCCCCGCGACAGCAGAGCGCCTCTGTGCGGTGTGTGGGTGTCCCAGTGAGACTCCCAAGTCCCAGCGGTTACTAAGCGCTGCCAGAGACGACTCCTAGTGGCCTCAGCATCTAGACTCCTGCATCAGGGCGTGGGAGCTTTTATGTCCCACGAACTCGTGTGTGCTTGCTTTTGTCCAGCTTTCTAATTTGTGCCAGGCAGATAGGGAGTGAAGTGACCTCTCATGGTTTTATTTGACCATTTTGGGAACATTTGAGTTGCAGTTCTCTTTAAATGATTGTTAGCATTGCAGTTTTCTCATCTGTATACTGCCAGATGATAGCCTTTGTCAGTTTTTCCATCGAGTCAGTTACATTTTTTTGTTGATTTTTCAGATGTTGATAGAGTTTAGCTATTAATCTTTTGTTGGTTTTTGATATTTCAAAACCTCCTCACAAACACGGTAACTTTGTCATAGATCCTTAATTGAACAGAAAACCTTAATTCTTTTTTTTTTTTTTAAGATTTTATTTATTTATTTGACAGAGAGATAGACAGAAGAGCACAAGCAGAGGGAGTGGCAGAGGGAGAGGGAGAAGCAGGCTCTGCACTGAGCAGGGAACCCGATGCAGGACTCGATCCCAGGACCCTGGGATCATGACCTGAGCCGAAGGCAGACGCTTAACCATCTGAGCCACCCAGGTGCCCCAGAAAACCTTAATTCTAACGTAGTCAGAATTATTAATTTAATTATGACTTGCGCTTATGGGATTTACTTCAAGTTCTCTTTTATTTACTTATTTACTTACAAACTTTAGAGTTTACCTTACACCCTTAGCCATTTACTTCATTTGGATTCCACCCTTGTAGGTGATGGAGGGTTGGGATCCAGTTTAGTTTTCCTCATTCACTGAGCTAGTTTTCAGGACACCATCTACAAACGATCTGTTCTTTCCCCATGGACATGCTCTGCCTTGTTTTCATGTGTTCAATCCCTGTATCCACCCATGTCAATCTCTGAGCTCTTGCATGTCTTCCAATGGCTCATTTTTTCCTGTCTTATTTTTTCCAGCAGTGTTGCACCTTACATTCTAGTACACATGTCTGTGCATATGTACAAGAATTTTTCCAGGGTGTATACCAAGAAGGAAAACTGTTGAGTGTTAGGGATGCACACTTTCAAGTGGACTCCACACTGTCAAGTGAGTATCCTTTTTTTCCTACATTCCTGCCACTGAGGGTTTGAAATGGTATCTCACTGTTTGAATTTGCATCTCCTTGCAGGTCATTTTGTAGTTTCCTCTTCTGGCGTTTGTTCAGTATTCTTCTGGGTTGTTTTTCCAAATGGTTGATGTTTAAGAGGTCTTTATGAGGGGCGCCTGGGTGGCTCAGTCGGTTAAGCATCTGTCTTCGGCTCAGGTCATGATCCCAGGGTCCTGGGATCCGAGTCCCGCATTGGGCTCCCTGTTGAGCAGGGAGCCTGCTTCTCCCTCTCCCTCTGCTGCTCCTCCTGCTTGTGCTCTCTCGCTCTCTCTCTGTCAAATAAAATCTTAAAAAGAGGTCTTTATGAATTTTGGATTCTAATTCTTAGTGATGTAACAAATAGTGTCTGCAGGTATATTGTTTGTACCTTAATTGTGATTAGAATGGATTTTGTTATATAGAAAATGTTAATTTTGGATTGTTCAAGTTGAATACTATATTCCTTAATCATTTTTGGTTTTGTATCTGACTTAAGGAATTCTGCCTTTCCCTGAGGTCATAAATAGTCTCATTTTATTCTAAAATTTTAAAAGATTTTCTTTTCTAGTCTATTTCTTTACTAGCTCTGGAACTTTTTGTGAGGGGTAGAACTATAATTTTCTTTTAATTCTGTATGAAAGCCAATTACTCAGCCTGAGTTGTCAGCCTTTCTCCACCAACTTTTAGTAGTGCTGCTTCTGTATGATCTGCACTGGCACTGTCTCTAGGCTTTCTCTTTTATTGTACTGATTTCCTCATTTATTTCTGAATCAGGGCTCTCTTCTGTTGGGGAAATAAAATAGTTCTGCCAACAGAAGACCCGTCTGGGTCCTCATAACCACACTATCATCAGGGGAGGCCAGTGTGGTGTAGTCCAGGATTCAGCTAGTGGAATGTTTATTCCCCAGTTGTTTAGCTACTTAGCAGGAGCCCAGTATGTGTGTTTGGTGGGGAGAGGGAGGGCGTGAAGGGAGAATCCTAATCCCCAGATCTTCCCATTCACTTGCCCTAGTATGTGGAATCTTATCATTAAGTGTTGATGTTTTTAGTTTTGTTTGTTTAAATCAGTATCTTCTTTAGAAATTAAAGTGTCACTAAGGCTTAACATATAACATGTTTATAGCCCCCTAGGAGTGAGTTTATCTGAAAGCTTTTTAATGATAGATAAGCCAGGACCTTTGGAAACAACTGGAATGATGAAATATGGAAGGTTTGAGTGGCCGCTTTTGAAACTATAGACTAAAATAAAATTTAGAGGTTGTTTTTAATTTTAATTAATCACGCCATTATTTCTCCTCTTTAATTTCCAGATACATTTATGAGTTGATTATAGTATTTTTCAGTTTTTACTGTGCTTAATTATCCTGATGATAATTGTCACCTGCCCCCATTCCAGACAATAATATACTTAATAAAAAATCAACTTTATTGAGGAATAATTTATACACAACAAAATGCACTTGTATTCATTGTATGATATAATGAATTTTGTATATCCATGTAGTGACCCCCATAATCAAGATACAGAATATTTGGGGTGCCTGGTTGGCTCAGTCGTTAAGCGTCTGCCTTCGGCTCAGGTCATGATCCCGGGGTCCTGGGATCGAGCCCCGCATTGGGCTCCCTGCTCCGTGGGAAGCCTGTTTCTCCCTCTCCTGCTCGCCCTGCTTGTGTTCCCTCTCTCTGTGTGTCTCTCTCTGTCAAACAAATAAATAAAATCTTTAAAAAAAAAAAAAAAGATACAGAACATTTCCATCAACCTAGGTAGTTTCCCTGTGCCCCAGACCCAGCCCTGGGCCCTAGCCAACCACTGATCTGCTATCTGTTATTATACCTTAGTTTCCCCATTCCTTGGATTTCACATGAATGGGATTTATATTATGTATTCTTGCATCTGGTTTATTTTTCTCGAAATGTTTTTGGGATTCATCCATGTCCTTGCATGTGTCCCACTTTGTTCCCTTTTATTGCTGTCTTTCATTATAAGGATACATGACATTTTGTTTATCCATTCACCTGTAGATGGACTTTTGGGTTGTTTCTGATTTATGGCATTGTGAATAAATCTGAAAGAGACATTTGTATACAAGTCATGGTGCGGACATGTTTTCATTTCTCTTGGATGGAATTGCTGGGCTGTATAACTCTTTGTTTAATTTTATGAGAAACAGCCAAACTTTTTTTCCAGCGTGGTTATAACATTGTCCACTTCCTTCCACAGTGTGTGAGAGGACTGGTTCCTCCAGACCCTTGGCTAACACCAGGTCAGGGTTTTTAATTTTAGGCATTTTATTAGGTGTGAAGTGGTATCTCATTGTGGTTTTGATTTGCATTTCCATAATAACTAATAATGTGTAGCATCTTTTCATGAACTTGCCATTTGTACATCTTTTGTGACATGTCTGTTGAAAACTTACTTTTTTTTTTTGCTTGTTTGTCTTATTATTCAGTTGTAAAGTTCTTTATATTTTCTGGGTACAAGTCCTTTGTCAGATATATGTATTATCTGTGGTTTCTTTTTTCATTGTCGTATCTGTTTTTTGAAGGACAGAGTTTTTACTTTTGGTGAGCTAATTTGTCACTTATCATTTATGGTTCATGGTTTTTGTGTATTTTTAATAAATCTTTGCCTGTCCTGAGGTATTGAAAATTTTCTGTGATTTTAGTTTTTATAGTCAAATCTGTGATCCATTTGGAGTTAATTTTCGTGAAAGCCTTGAAATTCTTTTTTTTCCCCATGGAGGATATCTAGTTGTTGGAGAACCATTTGTTGAAAAGATTGTCCTTTCCCTTTTGACTGGCTAGCTTTGGCATGTTTCTCAAAATTAATTGACTGTAGATGTACTCTATTCTGTTCCATTGATCTTTCTGTCTATCCTTATATCAGTACATACTGACATATAGTCTTGATTACTACAGCTTTTTAATGAAGTCTTAAAATTAGATAGTAATAAGTCCTTGGACTCTTTTTTCTATTTTGAAAGATTGATTTGGCTCTCTTTAGCCCTTCACATTTCATGTAAATTTAGAATCAGATTGCCAGTTTTGACCCCCCCCCCAAAAAAAGGTTCCAGTTGTATTTTTTCACTGGGATTGTGTTAAAGCTATTATATCAATTAGGAGAGATTTGACATCTTGACAGTTTTTTTTTTTTTAATTTAAATTAAAGTTAACATATAGTATATTATTAGTTTCAGGGGTAGAGTTTAGTGATTCATCAGTTGCATATAACACCCAGTGATCATTACATCAAGCGCCCTCCTTAAACCCCATCCCCCCACCCAAACCTCATTTATTCCCTCCAGCAACCCTTAGATGGTTCCCTATAGTTAAGAGTCTTCTATGGTTTGCCTCTCTCTCTGTTCTTATTTTATTTTTCCTTCCCTTTCTCTGTGCTCATCTGTTTTGTTTTTTAAATTCCACAGATGAGTGAAATCATACGGTATTTGTCTTTCTCTGACTAAGACTTATTTCACTTAGCCTAATATACTCTAATTCCATCCAGGTCATTGCAAATGGCAGGATTTCATTATTTTTGATAGCTGAGTAATATTCCAATTTGTATATATATACACCACGTCTTCTTTATCCATTCATCAGTCGATGGACATCTGGGCTATTTCCATATTTTGACTATTGTGGATAGTGCTGCTATAAACATTGGGGTGCATATGCCCCTTCAAATAACTATTTTTTTATCCTTTGGGTAAATATCTAGTAGTGCAATTCCTAGGTCATAGGATAGTTCTATTTTTAACTTTTTGAGGAACCTCCATACTGTTTACCAGAGTGGCTGCACCAGTTTGCATTCCCACCAGCAGTCTAAGAGGGTTCCCCTTTCTCTGCATCCCCGCCAACATCTGTTGTTTCCTGACCTGTTAATTTTAGCCATTCTGACTGGTGTGAGGTGGTATCTCATTGTGGTTTTGATTTGTATTTCCCCGATGCCCAGTGATATTGAGCACTTTTTCATGTGTCTGTTGGTCATTTGTATGCCTTTTTTGGAGAAATGTCTGTTCATGTCTTCTGCCCATTTCTTCCCTGGATTTTTTATTTCTTGAGTGTTGAGTTTGAGAAGTTCTTTATAGATTTTGAATACTAGCCCTTTATCTGATATGTCGTTTGCAAATATCTTCTCCCATTCCATAGGTTGCCTTTTAGTTTTGTTGATTGTTTCCTTTGCTGTGCAAATGCTTTTTAACCTGATGAAGTCCCAGTAGTTCATTTTTGCTTTTGTTTTCCTTGCCTCTGGAGACATGTCTAGCAAGAAGTTACTGTGGCCGAGGTCAGAGAGGTTGCTGCCTGTGTTCTCATCCAGGATTTTGATAGATTTCTGTCTCACATTTAGGTCTTCCATCCATTTTGAATTTATTTTTTTCCACTGGATATTCTTTCCTGCTTTGTTGAAGATTATTTGACCATAGAGTTGAGGGTCCATTTCTGGGCTCTCTGTTCTGTTCCATTGATCTATGTGTCTGTTTTTGTGCCAGTACCATGCTGTCTTGATGATTACAGCTTTGTAATAGAGCTTAAAGTCAAGAATTGTGATGCCTTCAGCTTTGGTTTTCTTTTTCAATGTTACTTCGGCTATTTGGGGTCTTTTCTGGTTCTGTATAAATTTTAAAATTGTTTGTTCCAGCTCTGTGAAAAATGTTGGTGTTATTTTGACAGGGATTGCACTGAATGTGTAGATTGCTCTAGGTAGCATAGACATTTTAACAATATTTGTTCTTCCAATCTGTGAGCATGGAACATTTTTCCATTTCTTTGTGTCTTCCTCAGTTTCTTTCATGAGTGTTCTATAGTTTTCTGAGTACAGATCCTTTGCCTCTTTGATTAGGTTTATTCCTAGGTATCTTGTGGTTTTTGATGCAGTTGTAAATGGGATCAGTTCCTTGAATTTCTCTTTATGCTCCGTCATTGTTGGTGTATAGAAGTGCAACAGACTTTTGTGCATTGA